TTGGTGGAAAGCAGATTGGAAACAAACAATTTAGAGTCCAAGAACAAGAACAAGAAAAGGTGGGCTGCACCTCCAAAGTTCTGGCTCAAATGTAATTTTGCTTCCTCTTGGAACAATCACAATAGTACTGGGGGAGCGGCATGGGTGCTAAGAGATGAGATGGGTGGTGTCTGGCTACATAGCCGAAGGAGCTTCTGTGATTGGAATGTGAAATGGATGCAAAGCTACAAAGCTTTCTTTGGTCAATTGAGAGTATGACAAGTCTAAGGCTTACAAAAATAATCTTTGCATCAGATGCAGTGGACTTGCTTGGGACAGTGATCAGACCACCTGCTTGACCCTCTTTTAGGTACCATTCATCGGAGACTGCTAGGGCTTTGCATGACGTAGATACTTGGGAACTGATGTTGGAACATTCTTCCTCGAACCAAGGAGCTTGTAAAATTGCCAAAAGCGTCACATTTGAGGATCGAATGCAATCATACGTTGCCGTGGGGTCTCCCCAATGGCTTCAGGTTCTCTTTGAGTCTGAAAGGAGGAGTCTTGACTCCACTCAAAGAATGTGATGTCCTGTTTTTTGGGCGTTTGATTGGTTTCGATCCTGTGTTTTTGGTGCAATCGTTTATATCTCTATAACTTGGTTTTGTCCACATTTTCTGGTGAATGATGTAATTATCTCTTTGGTATATATTAATATATAGATGAAAACAAAAATTGTTAATTAGTCAATCAATTTTAATATACAAAGCAAAAAACGATAAAGTCTAGATGTCTATCTAGAAGGGAAAAAAAAAGCCATAGCTGAATTAAAATTCGTGTTAGTTGTACTTAAGTGATGGAAAGACGAAATATAGAGCAACATATCGTGAACGATGATTTTGCTCGATTGTGTTGACAGGAATAAAACATATTTTGTGATAAAAAACTTACAATAAACGAAATATATTTCGAAGATGGACTTTGATCTTTGTAGAGTAGTAGAGCATACATAATGTTTAATTCTTTTTTATTTCATATGTACATATGTTTAACATCATTCCATCGATCAATGTTTTTCATAGGATTATTCGTAGAAATTGAAAAGGAGAAATAAAGTATTATTTAGAAAAAACAAAATTTCATAGGATTACATGACAAAATATATTTTAAGGAAATTGATGCGATGTCTTCTAGTAACATCTCGATGATGAAACCAACAAACAAAATCAGCTTTGATGATTTGTATTTAAAGTACTAGTTTTGATAATTATTTTCTTCATCTACCATTGATGATTTTTTCCAATTTTTTTTTTTAAATATG